AAGGAAAAATATATAAATAAAATGATGGTGAAAAGAGAAGGTAACAAATTTTTAACAACAAAAAAACATATGACTCACATAGAAAATTTGCAAAAGAAAAAGTTATAAATCTGCAAGCTTCCTCCTCATCTCCTAAGAACCAAATCAGAAAATCTAAAAAGAAACCAGAAATAAAAAAAAATATGTAAATAAACCAGACAAATCAAGAGAGACAAAATATGAAATCAGGGAGACAAAGAACATACCATAAACGCAAAGAGACTAATCCAGAATTCACTAGCAAGATATAGAAGGGTATTGAGAGATTAGGTGACTTTCAAATCAAACCTTTCATGAGGGTGTTTTAGAGAGCTCAGGAGGGTTTCAAGGAGGAAGAGATAAGGTTTTCAGAGACGGGGGAAAATCTGAAAATTTGTCGAGCGCGAATTCACTTAAGCGGCCTTTTTTTAGCGTGTTTTAAAAGACAACGCTTGTTAATGAGAGATAAGGTTTTCAAAGACGAGGGGAAATTTGAAAATTTGTTGAGCGCGAATTCACTTAAGTGGCCTTTTTTTAGCGTGTTTTAAAAGACGACGCTTTTTTTTAAAAAACCGTCATCTTTACATATAATAGACGACAGTTCTTTCAAAAAAATAGCCATCTTTACATATAATAGACGACGGTTTTTCAAAAAAACCGTCGTCTTTCCATATAATATACGACAGTTCTTTCAAAAAAAACCGTCATCTATTATATATAATAGACGACCTTTTTTTAAAAAAAAGGTCGGCTTTGCATATAACAGACGATAGTTCTTTCAAAAAAAGGGTCGTCTATTATATGTAAAGATGATCGTTTTTTTAAAAAAAATGGTCGTCTATTATATGTAAAGACGACAGTTCTTTCAAAAAAAACCGTGTCTTTACAACAAAAAAAAGGCCACTTGATTTTTAAAAGACGACGCTTGTTAATAGACGACCCTTTTTTAAAAAAAAATGGCCGTCTATTATATGTTTAAAAAAGGGTCGTCTATTAACAAGCGTCGTCTTTTAAAAATCAAGTGGCCTTTTTTTTGTTGTAAAGACACGGTTTTTTTTGAAAGAACTGTCGTCTTTACATATAATAGACGGCCATTTTTTTTTAAAAAAGGGTCGTCTATTAACAAGCGTCGTCTTTTAAAAATCAAGTGGCCTTTTTTTTGTTGTAAAGACACGGTTTTTTTTGAAAGAACTGTCGTCTTTACATATAATAGACGGCCATTTTTTTTTAAAAAAGGGTCGTCTATTAACAAGCGTCGTCTTTTAAAAATCAAGTGGCCTTTTTTTTGTTGTAAAGACACGGTTTTTTTTGAAAGAACTGTCGTCTTTACATATAATAGACGGCCATTTTTTTTTAAAAAAGGGTCGTCTATTAACAAGCGTCGTCTTTTAAAAATCAAGTGGCCTTTTTTTTGTTCAGCGTGTTTTAAAAGACGACGCTTGTTAGTGACAAGCGTCGTCTTTTAAAAATCAATCTAACGCTAGTAGTGTATAAGATGATATATCATGACGGTTTTAAAAACACCGTCGTCTTTTAAAACATAACGACGGTTTTAAGATGCACCGTCGTCTATTTTGTGTCGTGGTTTAACTATTTTGTATTAGTGGTAGCAGGAGGATGCGACATAAAGTGGTTAGGACTCTGGCTTAGTGATGTGGTGGCGTTAAAAATGCATCCATGTTGTATGCGGCCCATGAATAGCAAGGATCTTAAGCTAGCGCAACGTTTCTTGGAAAAAGATGCAGTCGTGAAGGAACGTCCACAATGGGATGAGGAGCTGACGCTAATGGTGGAGACCCGCCGCAAAGTAGAAGTTGACGCGTTGTCCCCCTTAGGGAGGAGGAGCTTCTTGTCCAACGTTTATTTTCCAAACAAGATGGGAGAGCAGGATTGGATATGACTCACTCACTAGTACTCTCATATATGGCTATAGCTACCTTAATTATTACTAGGTATCTTCTAAATTATTCTGTTTGGCATGCTCAATATACTATTTCTTTTAATATTTCTGGATGATGATGCATATTGTTTGTTAATTTCTCTTTTATTTTTCTTTCTGCCCAAATAACCCAATTTAATATTTCTGGATGATGATGCATATTGTTTGTTAATTTCTCTTTTATTTTTCTTTCTAGATTTGGGTTTGATTTGATGCATTTATATATAATCAATCGAGACTTAAATTTAGATAGGAAATGTTTCTGCTATCACTATGATTCCTGAATTTCGTTTTTCACTCTTTAAATTATATGAGTGAATTTTGAATGGAATGTGTTTAGACAGATGAATTTTGTTGGAGATCATTTGGCAAGCATGGGTCACCAGCTGGATTTGGGATTGCATACATTTGATATATTCTGCTACTGAGAGAACGACTACAAACCCTAGAGAGGCTGGCCATCTTCCGATCCCAAACCCAGTGGAATTCCTCTTCTTCTGTTATTTTCTCTCTTCCCTTTCTTCTAAAGATGAGCGCGAATGTGAGTGTGTAATACAGAAATATTCATTCAGAAATACAGTGGAAGCTGTTGGGCGAATGATCACAAAACTTAAGAATAGGATGAGATTTATAAAGTAAGGCAGAGAGTGTTTGTAAAACAGAGAGAATTAGACAAACTGATTTTATTAACTTCTTCAATACAACAGCAGCCTATAACATTGGCTATTTATAATTACATTTACACCTTTACATAATAAGACACAACTCTTGGACACAACTCTTGAATTAATTCCAAGAGATACAGATACAACTTTTGACATCTAAAAGATACAACTTCTCATATAGTCGAGATATAACTCTTCATAAGAAACCTATAAGGAAAGATATAACTAATAATTTTATTTTCTAAATTTAAACTGTAGACGATGCATTGCTTTTAACAGAAGCTCATCTTACAGTGGATGTACTCTTACAGATCTGTACTTATTAAACACTATTGATGACTCTCTAGATTCCAACTCTTCAAAGTGGTAAAGGCTCAACCAGCACAGACTGGATCAGCCGAGAGCCTTGTTCTTGATCACCAAATCCATCTCCAGCTTGGTAAAGGCTGTGCGCCATTCGCGCAATATTTGTGGCAATGTTGTTGATGAATGGTGAGAGAAAAGGCACTTGTTGTGGGGTTCTCAAGCATTTCCCATTTATTTTCTTCCACGCATTGTCTATCATCCCCTTAATCTTCGCCTCAGCTGTATCTTCAGAAGCATTCATCTCTCGCATGTAACATAGGATTGCTGAAGGAGCATCGCCTCTCTCTTGTTCAGCCTGTTAATCAATATTCATTAATTAATTAAACTATGTAAGTAGGCTGTAAAAACTAATAAAAAACTATAGCAATTTGGTTCGATTTCGCCGTGTTTCATTAAGAAGAAAAATTAATAAAGAAAGAAAGTTACAGCGGAAGTTCCCATATCATTGGTGAGCCGAACTATCAGAGATATGTTATGCACAAGATCTTCATTCTTGTGCAGAAAATCAGCAATCTCTTTGATTCCGTCACGATGGGTTGTGGAGAAAAATGTATGAACCCAAGGGACTGAAACTGATGATGAAATGCATCCATTACTTAGGTACTCTTCAAAGGATGGTGCGTAGCCCGTGCTGTACCACTCTGCCTCTACTAATAATGCTTTACAGAAATCTGCCCACTAAGAGTCAAACAAATAATTTCAAGTTCAACCATAATATATATAAGTAAAGGTATGTAAAGGTATATAAAATAAATAAATAAATAAATAAAAAGGAAAAGGCCTAGCTAGGCTAGTACCGCTTTGCTCAAATGAGGTAACGCTAGATTCCAACCACTCTCCTCCTCAATTTCATGAGCAAATTCACAAGTTGTGTTGTAGAGCACTTGGAAACAGATCTTCATACACTCTGGAAGCTGCTCAGTTACCCCAACATCCCACCTAAATTTAAGGCAATTTTAATTTATGAGAATTTTAGACATTAATTATGAAATTAACCCCAATTTAATTTATATAAATATATGTTGCAAAATTATAACTAACACTGCTGCAATGCAAATGTACCTATCCACGGCGTTGGTGAAGATCTTTAGCTCTTCCAATGAGCCATAAATGTCATAAACGTCGTCTATTATCAGAATCAAGTTGATGACTTTACTAAGCAAAATTCTAAAAGATGTGTAGCCAGGATGGAAATTTAATCCCACAGCAAACATGAAGCACTCGACCGGTCTATCTCTCGCAAACTTCAAGTGTTCTTTGAGGCCCAGATTGTTCCACCACCTTTAATGACACATCGATCAGAACCCAAAGCAACAAAGTTACCAAATTTTCAACATAATATTGTTTCATTTTCCAAAAAGAAGATAAACGATTTGTTCGCTTTTACTTACATGGATACTTCGCTTAGATCTTTTTGCAGTGCTGCTTGAACCATGTTAAAGTTGAGTTTAGCCAATTCAAGTAATGAAATGGTGTTTGCGTGATTGTCTTTCTCATAGGCGTGTATGTGCCCTTTGACATTAAACCACCCCACTCTTCGGTGTGATGAAAGCTCCAAAGCATGGACCACTTGCCTGGCAAGGTTATTGTCCGGATTCCAGACTTTGGAACCTCTGAGAGCTACCGTAGAGGAAGCTTTCGCCTCATCTAAGATCCTTTCGCCTTCAAAAGCCAGGTTTGAGGCCTCCAAAAGTTCAAGCATGCCTTTGACATCCCAATAATTGCTTTCCTTTAATGCACCCTTCTCATCCATGAAGCCACCAAAAACATCTACACGTACGTAGAGAT